AGTCCCTTCTTAGAGGCCGTTTTTTAAGAAATGAGAGGCCTGCTGAGGAAGAGAGACCACCTTCCATGGCAGCTAATGAGTTAAACCAGTTAAGACAGCGACATACAGTCTCTGGCCTGAGGTACGCCGATTATTCAAGTCATGCACGGATATGTCGTAATTGGCTTACCTATCTAACCTTTGATACATTAACCTTTCTTAGATTCATCGTTGTTTCATGTTGCAATTCAAGTCGTCTTTACTCTAACAGACTAATTCTGGTGATAGGATGAGATAACATTCTATATCTTGTGCAAAAAACTGTCTTCTCTCTCTCTATCTCTTTTTTTTTTTTTTTTTTTTTTTTNNNNTATTTTAATAATAAGTATAATTTATTTATGCTTATTCAATATGTTCATTTAATCATCCAAAGAAGCTGAAGGTGCTAAAGCTTATGAACTGAGGAACAACTTCTGCTACATACTATTTGTTTTGATGCATTTTCTTCTATAACTCTCTTAAAAGGGAAAGGGAGAGTTGTTTCTTGAAAAAATCGATTTGCCAAATATACCCAACACTATAGCTACTTTCTAAGGTTGTTAATATAATTATAGCATTAATATTTGGGAGTTACAATTATTAATAGTTACATTTACTTTTCAATCAAATATTGTTCTTCTTCTATATTTTTATTTTTATTCTAATCTTTGATCTTATTCAACTTTAATTATTTATTATGTATTCTATAATTTATTTTTTGTAGTTGATATAGAGACATTTAGATTATCTAAGAAAATATAAAATAATAAAATAAACTGAAATCAACATAATGTGATTGATACAAGGTTAATTTTTATTTTTCTTACGTTATATGAGATCATTAAAACTTTGAATAAAAAATATATTTCTAATATCATTATATTACTTAACTTGTATTTATTAGTTATCAAAAGAAATAATTACAATTTCAAATACTATTTTACAAATTAGATACAAATTTACGTTTTAATTTTTTCTCAATTATATATTCAATATAATTTATATTTACACAGGTTATCAATTTGGTTATTAAGATTTAAAATATAAATTTTAATTTGGTTATTTATTTATACATTAGTTATCAATTTGGTTATTAGGAAAGTTTTGAATGTCACATATAAAAAGGAGTAGTGCATATGTAATAATGTTCGTGAATCACATTGCCCATGTTTTCTTTATACAAACGTATCTTCAATCTTGTTATTCATGATTGTTAATAAAATATTTTCATCTTTTGTTATACATAAGTGGTCGTTATTCTTAAACACTAGTAGAGTTAAAATCTTTAGATTTATTTATTTAGTTTTATTTAATCATAGCTTTATATTACTACCATTATAGATTATTTCAGTGACCATTACAATTATATAATTTAATATATATATATCTATATAGGGTTGGGTTCAAGTGAGAATGATGCACTGTGAAAGAAATAAGAATACATCGTGGTCATTAGATCGGATGATCTAATGGCTAATAAAATTAGCATTTATTTATTCATTAAGGGTATTTTAGTTATTTTACCATTTTACTAATTAATTTGTGTTAACTACAAAATTACCAGGTCCAATTATTTCATGCCACGTGGCTAAAACACATAACCCCTCACACCCTTCTCTCTCACATACTGACACACACACACACACACACACAAATCTGTCAAACACATATATACATATACATACACACACAGTACACACAACACACACAAAAACCGCACCACACACACACAGTGGAAGAGTAGCCCACCATCAGTCGCCTGGTTTTCCGGCGACGGCGTGTCTGACCGATGGTTGAGGCGCCGCCGCACCTCCGTCAGGCCCTCATCGCCGTACGTGTTGGAGCCCCGGTCCGCTGCCACCGTCAGTCTCAACGACGAATTCAGACCAACTCCGGCTACCGGTCGACGTCGTCGGGATCTCTGAATTAGCGTCGCGAAGCTTGCAGGCACAGGCACACTTCGCCGCCGTTGGTCCATCGTTCGGAGCTCCACTGTCATTCTCCATCCATCTCAACCGGCGGCCGATTTCACTCATCCTCGTTGGAAGGTGGCGCCAGAGTTCGGGTCGCGGCGGGAGGAGCTCCTTGATGAACGATGGAGTCGATTAATACATCAAGGACTGATGTCTTTCCCGAATATGGTTGAGAGGCGCCGGTAGGGTGGTGTGCAAGGTGAAGAAAGATTTGGGGATTGGGGATGGGGGCCTGATTGCAATATAGTGAATCTTGATTATTATTTAATTTTGGTACATGTGCCAAAATGTGTATTTATAGGAAAATTAATAAATATATGTTAATGTTACATAAATTTAATATATTTTGTATAATCACCTTAAATATATATGCAATGTGAGTGTATGACATAATGCACATTAATGACCGATATATTGCACATTAATGATTGTCCGATTGCACCATAATCACCGAAACATAAATAATTGAATCATTCCGTTCGAATTTGCATAATAAAGTTAAAATATATGTTTCCTTTTAAAATTTTGGTTTCGACTTTACAATTAAAAAAAAAACGAAATAACAAAACAATCGAACTATATAGAAAAATTATTTTATATATTTTTGTTTAAATATATTATTATATTTAGTCTAATGTAATGATAAAAAAAATATTAACATAAGAAATATATTTTTAATGAATATAAACAATTTCAGGTATTTAGGTTAAATCGGTTAACCGATCGAATAAACCGATTAACTTATCACGTTTTAGTTTATATTTTTTGTTGGAATAAATCGTTAAAAATGTGTATCTTCATTTTTTAACCAAGAAATAATATAAAAATATATAAACAATTAATATAGTCTTATAAGTTATAATAATAAGTAACAAAATATTTCAATTATTTAAGTTAATTATATGTACAATTAAATCTACTAAATCTAGTTTCAAAAAACACATAATTTATGTGATCATATAAAGTAGTTTTATATTGCACTTTATATAACGACGCATTGCACTTTATAAAGCAACATGTTGCACTTTATAAAACAACAATTTGCACTTTATCACCACATTCCGCAATTAAAGTCAGTAGATCACGCCAAAATACCACGCAACATACGTCTAAAAAATGGGATTACATAATATTTTAACATCAATCACATTATTTGATCACAAAAAAAAAAAAAAAAANNNAAAAAAAAAAAAAAAACATGCTAACATACCAAAATTACAATATTGCATTTTATATATTAACTTGTTGCACTTTATATATCAACAAGTTGCACTGCATAAACCAGAGCGTTGCACTCCTTAATTAACATCGATAACTCCCACCAAAATACTATATTTTGTGTTCGAATTCTATATATTGGAACATAATTTTAAATTTTTATTTCGGTTTGAAGTCAATAGATCACGCTAAAATACCACACAACATACGTCTAGAAAATGGGACTACATAATATTTTAACATCAATCACAATATTTGATCACAAGAAAAAAAAAAAAAACACAAACGTGCTAACATACCAAAATTACAGTACTGCACTTTATATATTAATCCGTTGCACTTTATATATCAACAAGTTGCACTGTATAAACCAGAGCGTTGCACTCCACAATGAACACCGATAACTCCCACCAAAATACTATATTTTATGTTCGAATTTTATATTTTGGTACGAATTTTAAATTTGGATTATCTCGGTTTGAATTCAACTTTATTTTTTAAAATAATTGAAGCAACCTAACTAAAAATTTTGGTTCAAAAATTTATAATTCAACTCGATTATATGTTTATTTGCTTTTAACATCTCAAATGCAATATACATCTATTATGCTTTTTTTTACAATTTTATTGTACATTTAGTGTATTTTTTATTAATTATAGATTTGACCCATTATTTAAAGTGAATTTTAATAAAATTTAAAAAATTGCAATTAAGGCCCTTGAACTTATCAAATTCTCAAAAATGATGCCCAACTTAAAACCAATCTACATTCCTTGTTCTTCCACCTGCAACCATCAGGTTATGCCCTTCCCAGCCGACCTGTTAAAGGACGCCGGAGAACAGCCGCCGGAGAACAGATTCTCACCGGACATGGCAGTAGCTCAACATTTGGAAGGAGCATTTTGTGACTGGGGGCGGCGGCGGGCTAAGGTAGAACCTATGCGGCTGTTGGCGACGACGGAACCGCCTGACTTTGCCGGCAGCGTTTAGGTGTTTGCGAGTAGAGGCCGGCGGGAAGCTTGAAGTGGTGGTTAATGGCGGACATCTCCGGTGCCACGACTGACGGCATCTGTGGTGTTGCTGAGTGCGGCCATCTATGTGGCGGACGGCGGCGCGGCGAGATGGTGGTAGGAGTTTTGGCCGGAACAGCGAGTGTCTGCCGGCGTGAAGCTTGGGCTGTTGCGGACGGCGGACGTCTCCGGTGGCCATGACGGACTGCAGCGGCGGTGTTCTGGGGTGGCAGACGGCGGCGCAGCGGGCTTTTCGTGTCTGATTTGGTCGAAAGATGTACTGCGTGCGTGTGTGTGCGACGGAGATGGTGGTGTCTGGTGTGTGTATATGTGTGAGGGAGAGTGTTGTGTGTGTATGTGTGAGAGAGAAGGTAGGTGTGTGTGAACGTGTTTAATGTGTTGTGTGAGAAGATAAGTTGTGAATTGGTTGGGTTTGTGATATATAATTATTGAAAATGACTAAATTACCCTTAATGAGTGGTAAATGACCAAAATATCTTTAATGAGTTTGACTTTAATTACTAACTTTGACTTCATCATGACCATTGAGATGTTGGATCTAAAGGTCTACAAGCATTCTTATTTCTTTCACTACCTTTCTTATGATCCCTTCTCTATATATATATATATATTATATATTATTAAGCTACTGAAAATTTTTCAATAATTAGATATAAATTCAATAAAATAAAATTTAAACCATAAAAAGATATTAGTAACCACGTGCAACGCACGTGTATCTTCCTAGTATTTTGAAATGCAGGAGTATTGTTAACCTAAAACCATAGTAATGCAGCTTATGGTTGAGTTCACAAAAAGACTAGGTAATTCGAATGTTCTATTTCATTCGAACCATTGGATGTGTGCCCTCATATATTGTAGGTGCTCTGGTTCACAAGAACAAGCATTCCTACATTATTAAGTCTCTATTTAGCATCCCTATACGGGGTCAGATCTCCATTTCCATCTTCATATTCAATCTCATGTTTCATTCCGTTGGATGCATGACATGATACAAATATTATGTCATCATAGACACATATTGTACATCCAACGGAATGAAAATCGAAATTGAATGCAAAATTGGAACATAAAAATTTAGCCTTCACTATACCATAGAATCATTTAACTGAATAGGTTTAGATGATGCCCATTTTAGGAAAGCTGCCTGTTTTCACTTGCTACACTAGACTTGATAAAAATTGCAGTTATGCTGCATAATTGCTTCTGTAAAAATTGCCTTTCTTACTTCACAATCTGAAAAGTTGAACCCTTTTATTGTTTCGGCATATCTTGTTTGTTGAGCTACCATAGAATGGCTGCTGGGCTGAGTAAAATAAGGAAATCATAAGATGAGTATGGATGGTTAAGGTATACTCTGTGAAGGGAGATATAGTCGAATTTGAAGAAGATACACTCGGTAGATGCATGTGTTTGATTAGCTAGTTAGTGAAGCAAAATACTTGGGCAGTGTTCTGTAGCCAGTTTGAGATGACCAGACAAAATAATTTTAATTTTCTGATCAGAATGATTTATGAAACAAAATTAAAGGAGAACTTGAGAGTGTTGCTCTGGATGGAATTGACTCATAAGTTCTATAGAAAACGTCAATCGGAAGAGAGAAAGGTCTCTTTGTAAGGAGGTCGTTGATATCAGTATGTGACAATTTTATTCCACTCTGTTCTTGGATGTGGTATTCCAAATTAAAATGCTCTATGTAACAGAACATCGAACATCAGTACACAATGCTTCATCCTACTTCTTAACGCTGAGAATGTGTTTTTGCATCTGGACTATTTGCCTTTTTGTTATCTCTTCCCCCCGCCACCATTCTCCCTTTCTTGGTAGTTGATATGTTTGACAACTTAGTACAAGGTAGTAGGTACTATATTTAAGGTTTGTATGGAACAATCCTAAACAAATGATTCTCACTTCATCGTGCTATTAAACATACAATTTCACTTAGCATGGATTTTAGATGAGACCTTACTCCATCGTGCCATTAACTATACAGTTTCACTCAGCATAGAGTTTTAGATGAGACCTTCTGGAATGTGGTCTAATACAATCTGCCGCTTCAGTTGTGGTTGAGGGTTAGTGGTGTCACATTACTGCTTTCACAGTGCAGGTTTATGTGGAAACCAAGTTTCCAGGAAAAAAAAAATGATCTTTAGGACCATATTGAGTTTCATTTCCAAATTTATCACCTCAATTCTAACATTTTTAGGATGGTTAACTTTCAATTATTTCCTGAAATATAAAAATATGAATGTGGTATTATTGTGTATTTCTCGACTATGTGGGTGTTGAGATGAAATTATATTTGACACCACTTTAGTAAATCTAATGGTGTGAGGTTTTGTGGAAACAGATTTTCATGTTGGGTAGCACCATATATTTTCTTTGCTTAAATCATCCAATTGCACTTGTAGAAAATAAAGAAGCGTATCTCTCTTGTTTGATGCATGTTTGTGTACTTCAATTCAGGGAAGGGTTCCGCTTTAGATTGGAAAACATTGTTCGTGGTCAAGCAAGCAGCCATCCTGTTACCTCTTCTAATGTTGGAAACAATGATTCCAGAAATGATCAGAGAATCATGAATTTTTTACATGAGATGCAACATGGGAATCAGGATATTGATGATCGGTTGCAGGGTCGCATGGAGAATATGGATATATCTATTCAAAATACAGATCTAAATGTTGGTCCTGATGTAGGAATCCAGTGGCAGGAACGGGTTTCTGAAGATGGGAGAGTAACACTACAACAATCAGCAGAAAGTTATCCTAATCGTTGGATACATGACACTTCAGCTGGAGCAGCACAGAATAGGCCAGAACATGCAATGTCTGACTGGCCCTCGGCAATGGTAGCTGAAGATGGACGTCAACATCGTTTAGAACTAAACCATGAGGTTTGGAATGCAAATGGTTCACGTGAAGCCGTTGATAATTGGTCAGAAGAACCTTCAGACACTTCAAGAACGAGGCGGCCTCTTTCTATCAGGAGAGTCGCCAGGTTTCACCCCCCTGAAGATGATAATGTATACAGCATGGAACTCAGGGAGCTATTGAGCAGGTTACTGTCCCATTATGTTGTGTTTTCGGTCGAATTATACTTTAAGGGATCTTTGCAGAAAGTAATTTATTCACTTAATTCTCCGCGAAAAAAGGTAAACATTTTTAAATTGCAGATTCCCTTAAGATTAATTTGTTTTCTAGTTACTCCCTCAACAGGGTGCAATTTGTAAAATTTGAAAATATGTATTGGGTATAATTAGTTTGAACAAATATGCTCCCTCCGTTCTAAATAATTGTCTTTTTAGCTTTGTTGTCTGTTCCACTGCCTAAGAAATTCAAGGTACTTTTGTCTTGAAAGTTCCAAAATTACAATTAATTATCACTTGTAAACTGAATGTGTTCATATCTCCAAGATGATTGCTGGAATTAAGAAAAGAAAAAAGTTCGATGGTAAGATCATCCATTTCATAAGATTTTGTAATTTGTGAAATCTTCTGAGACCACAATTGCTCAAGAGGGAGCATTAGACGCACACATTTTTTCCTTTCTGGTTGGTAATTAGGCGATTTCTAATTATAATTTCGTTTATGTATAGTTCTTTCGAACTCAATTTAAACATCATGTTGTAGAAGGAGTGTTTCAAATTTACTTCGGAGTGGTTTTCGAGAGAGCCTGGATCAGTTAATTCAATCATATGTGGAAAGGCGAGGGAGGGCTTCTATTGATTGGGATCTCCACCGGAATTTGCCCCATCCTTCATCGCCTGAAAGGAATCAAGACACACAAAATGATGAGCAGATTGAGGATCAGCATGACACTACTGGTAGGCCTTCACTGGTGTTACCCACTCCTCCAGTACCACCACCACAGCCCCTGTGGCATCAAGATTTGAACCACTCTGGCTGGTCTCGTCACAGTGTCCATCGTTCTGAAGTTGTAAGTTACATATATTCCATGCTGAATGCCGAAAGCTGCCCTACTTTGATTATATCATGCTTTTGAATCTTCTGTTTCTCCATTTCTTTTCCCGTTATGAGGTCAACTAAAGAAATTACTAAAGTTAAAGGTATTTATAAGAAGATCCAGATAAGCTCGAAAGTTGAAAAAAAAAAAATCCATTTTGATTTTTTTTGGTTTGCTGTCAAAACAATATCAGATTATTAAGGCAGCAATGGGTTCTTTCCGTAATTTTGGAACTTTCTTTGTCTATTTTGTTATCACAATGGGGAGTTTTTTTAGTAATCCTTTTCTTATAGGCTTCTGTGTGTTAAGTAGTTCAGTTGTTTGGGCTCAATGGAAGGATGATAAATGGTGAAGTCCGCCTCGAATGCTTGCATATTATACTAAATTGTGTTGCATCCACCTTTGGGACTGTTATCACTGGTTCAGGCCCACAACTTAAATTTCTATTCAGCAGGGCTAAGGTCTAAGGACTATAGTCATACTGCTATAACGGTCATTATCCAATTTATTTCACAAGAACAAAGTAAGTTCATCAATTGAATGCGTTGTTGGTAATTGAGCAGGAGTGGGAGATGATGAATGATTTGAGGGCCGATGTTGCCAATCTTCAGCAAGGTATGAATCACATGCAGAGGATGTTAGAGGCTTGCATGGACATGCAGCTTGAACTTCAGCGCTCGGTTAGGCAGGAAGTTTCAGCTGCTCTTAATCGGTCCTCTGGTGGGCAAGGTGCGTTTGCCCCCTTCTCTTCTGGCAGTGGTTCTCTAAGTTTTTGTGGATAGAAAGTACAATGCTACCTTTCCTGTTGCATTTGCCATTTTTAGGATTGTGCTATCTGTCTAGCAATACTTCAATTCTATCTTGCTCTGTGTGATTGAATATAGTTATGCAAGGCATTATTGCTGAGACATCGGCGGACGGGTCTAAATGGGGCCATGTAAGAAAGGGAACATGTTGCGTTTGTTGTGATAATCAAATCGATGCCTTACTGTACAGGTAATGTTGTTGCTACTGATGAGTAGTTTGTTTTATGCTTAAATGAATTGTGATTTATTTATTTTCTTGAATATTATCTATTTTTGGATCGTTTGGCCTTTCTTTCCCTTCATTTATCAGTGAAAACTATAAATGGATGTGACTGAAAAATTAGTAGTGAGTCCTACATCTCTATTTGGCGATTAGAGGGTAGCTAATAATCGAGTTAATTGCCTTAGCGGATAACTAGGTGGTTTACGTTGCCAGGAGAGGGAAGGTGTAATTGACCTGGTCTTTAAGCTGTCACTGAAGAGAACTGAGACTACCCAGAATCGGGCGGGCTAAAAGGACCAATGGCCGTCTACTTGGACCTATAGGTTAAATAAGTAAAACAACAGAAAAGTATGATGATTGAGTGTTCATAGATTTAAAAAATACAATGATACAAAAAAATTTTTGAGTTCTTCAAATTGCCATGGATAGAAAACTAAAACTGGAAATGTAATTTGTTTGGCAAACGTTGCTAGAAACGTCATTCAGTCAACACAGTGCATCTTATTTATATCCCAGCTATCATAGAATCTGCATTTTGCCCAGAAAGCTAATCTACTAAATACATGCTGACAAAATAACACCATTAGAAGATCTGACTGATGAATGATGGGCTCTTCAAACTAAAATACTTGGCCAAACCTTACTATCAAACACAACCAATTCTTTTGGAAACATGTATCCAGATTCCAGAGTGAAATTGTGGACCAAAAATTTACAAGTAATCAGTCAGTGTGTTCCATTTTCGCATTTGTGTGTTTGCTGACCTCTCTCTCTCTCTCTCTCTCTCTCTCTCTCTAGATGTGGGCACATGTGTACCTGCTCTAAATGTGCCAGTGAGCTGGTTCGTGGAAGTGGAAAGTGTCCCTTGTGCCGCGCACCCATTGTTGAGGTGATTAGAGCATATTCCATACTCTAAATAATTAGTGGAAAAAAATGTAAGCTGTTTGGAAGATTGAAGTTGTTATTTGGTCGAGTAAAAGGTGGCCTCTCTCTCTTAGGATTGCTTGAGAATTGTCTTTTTTTTTTTTTTTTTTTTTTTTTTTTTTTTTTTTTTTTTTTTTTTAATTTTTTTTTTTTTTTTTTTTTTTTTTTTTTTTTCAATTGAATGTTAAAAATTGGACAATATATGGCACCTATTGTTTCCTCATACGTTTGTAAATAATATATCCATTTATATCGATTCTTTCATAGGGAAGTTGAAGTATATCAAGGTTTGATTTATCATTTCTTGTCGCATTGCACAGCGACAGTTGCTGTTATAAAAAACATAGGTCCACAAACGCATTCAGATATACGTTTTATAGATTTACGCAATACGTTTTATAATTAAAATTCAAATTTTAATTTTCTAAAAATGTTAAACGTATTTTGAAAATACGTTTTTAATGGAAGTGCCCCTAGCATGGTAGCGTTGGAAGGCACCTTTTCTCTGTTGGGTCTGAAGCGGCGCTAATGGCATGAAAGTGGAGCTAGGGGAAAACGTATTACGGGAATACGTTCATTTTAGTTTTCAGAAAAAAAAAGAAATTACAATATAAACCTGTTCAATCAATCAACCTGTCCAATATACACATGTTCAATCATCTGTTCAACCAACTCATATCTATCAATTCGCCAAAGAATAATCAAACATACATTATATGAAAACAATCAACCACAATAATTTATTCAAGAAACATTATATAAAACTTAAAAGGTCAAAATACAGTTTTTTAATACAAAACAAATATGTCTACAAAATTCATACTACAAAATACACAAACTAACTAGGAAGGAGTGTATGTATCCGGAGGTCTACGCTGTCGGGACCCCTTACTAGGAGGCCTTTGTCCTGAAGAAGACGAGGCTGCGGTCGTGATAGGTGTGGCAGCTTTTTCTTCTTGATCTGAGTAATTAATATTTTAAACAAATTAGAAATTCGATTGGACAAAATAAAAAAAATTAAACAAAATAAAAAAAGAAACATTTTTTTATGAAAAATTATCACCTTCTTCGTCGTCCTCAGATCCAGTGTTGCCAGCGGGTTCGCGTGCACGGCGTCTTCGACCTCCACCAATGTCGCGAGCCGGTCGATGCCTCGCCCGATGTGACTGTGTGGCCTGGGAAGAGACGTAGTCTTCTTGAGATAGAAGTTGACTAGACGACGCTCCTTGTATGCCCTGTTGGCCTCCAACAGTCATAGAACTGTAGAGGATGTTCTGGGTCTGGTGCCATGCAGTCTGCAACTGTGGATGGGCTGTATGCAACAAGTGCTGAACACTCTGTAACGTGT